AGAAGCCTCTAGAAGGTCATTCCCTAGCTCCACAGGCCCTACCCCAGCCTTGGTGCACCTCTGCTCTCCAGGGCGCCCCTGACTTCCCTCCCGCCTCAGCCCACCTTGTCGATGAAGGAGGCGAACTTGTTGTTAAGCGTCTTGATCTGCTCGCGCTCCTGGGTGCGCACGCGCTGGATCTCGGGGTCGATCTCCACGTGCAGGGGCGTCAGCAGGCTCTGGTTGACAGTGACCTCTTGGATGCCCCCGGGGGGACAGACTGGCCCAAACGCCTGCCGGCCAGCGCCCAGGAAGGCCCCGCCGCCCAGGCCGAAGCCGCCCAGGCCGCGTCCTGAGGACGCCCCTCCAGCCACGCTGACCGAGATGCTCTTGCTGCCCCCCAGGTTGTAGAGGCTGCGGCTGCCAAAGCCGCCCAGGCTGGGCGCACAGCGGGCGCCCCCACCGCTGCCCCCGCTCCTGGACACGGTCATGGAGCTAAAGCTGGTGCGGGCCCTGGAGCTGCCCCCACCGCAGGCAGAGTTGGAGCTGAAGCCCCCCTTGGTGGAGTAGGTCTGGCGGGACACGGAGGATCGCATGGCTGCAGAGGGCCTGGCTGCAGTGGGGAGGAAGCGGGGAGCCGGGCCACGCATGGCCTTTTATCTTTTCCCGGCTGGGCTGGAGCTGGGAGCCACATACACTCCTGCCCCATCGCCCCAGGAGGGGAGGGCGGGGCCCTGTGGGCTGTGGGGAGTCCCTGTCCCCCGGCGGGAGGGAGGGGCCGGTTCTGTTATCGCCTCCCGTGACTGTCTGGGGGTAGGATGCCGCCACAGGCACCACCTGCCCCCAGGGCCGTCCTCACCTGGAACAGGATGACACAGGCTCCCCCGCCGTGCCCACCACCAGGGGTTCCTCCCACCCAGCCCCAGTGGCCGTGCTCAATGGGGCTCTGTTCTGTGGGCTTTGTCCCAGGCCCCTGTCGCAAGCCAAGGCCCTGGGGCCCGGGGCTGTGCAGGTGGTGAGAGAGGCAGAGTTGGGCAATGGGCTGCTGGAGAGGGTGCCCAGGCCTGCCCAGTCCCACCCGCCCGGCCCACAGTCTTCCTCCTGGCAGTCCACGGTGGGCACAGGTGAGAGCGTGGGGACGGGGCAGACCCCGAAGGACTGTCCGCTAGGAGAACACAGCCTGGGACCAGGGGCGTAGACACTAGGCGGGGATGCCTGGACACGTCAGGCCTAGACTCCCTGGTACTGTGGGAGGGGAACACACTTCCGGGGACTGGTGGGTGATAAGGAGCTTCCACCACAGCCTGAACCCCAGAGCCCTGCCTCACTCCAGCACCACATTGGGACTGGACGTAGGTGGAGAGGCAAGATGTGTGTGTGACTTCTGTCTCCCAGGGGTCCATGGAGCACCTCAACATTCCTGTCTCCCATCCCATGAGGAGCCTCTTGCCTGGCTCAAGCGGAGTTGGGGGTGGGGGGGTCCCGAGTCACCTCCTGTAGTGCCCTCCACACCCCACCTCAGGCTGCTGGGACCGAACACCAGGGAGGGAGCAGGGACACAAGAGGGACCCCCAGGGAGCAGCCATCCTCCTCAACCTCATCCTAAACCCAGGAAGGCAGGAGAAGGAGTCCGTCCACCCAGGCCAGATGAGTCTGGGATGGGGGTCCTTGCCCAGGACCCCGGCGAATTCCTGCACATCCCATGGGGACAGAGATGCAAGGACTCACAGTCCCTTGCGTACAAGATGCTTTTTTCCCTGATATGGTGAGAGAATAGCAGGAATGTGGAGAGAGGAAGCCCTTGAGCCAGGGGTCCTCAGGCAGCTCAGAGCCCCTCTAGGCCCTTCTGGGCATCTGGTCTACCAGCAATGCCACTATACCTGTCCTTCCCATAGCATCACAGCACCCTGCCTGCCACCGCGGCCTACTACCACCCCCGCCTCCCCAGCCTGCCACCCCCGCCTACATTCCCAGCTGAGATGTCACTTCCCACTGACCTTTGCCTGCTGTCCCCAAGGCTGTGATCACTTTCTCAGCCTCCCTTATCTCTCCCCGTCCCAAGTGGGGGCCCCCTGCCCCGGGGAAGGGAGTGATGTCAGCTGGTGAGTCAGACAGACACGGGGTGGTGGGAGTAGAGGGGGAGCACTTCCCGCCCCTCCCTGAGACCAACATCCACGCACAGTTACTCAGTGCCCTGAGCCAGGCTTGTGCCAGGAGCTGGTAACAGACACAGCACAGCCCAGACTCACTCTGGAACTCAGACACGGCAGAAGTCAGCCTCCTCCTCCCTGCAGCCACAGACACCCTGACCTTCTGATGCAGAAATTCCCACCAAAAAAAAAAAAAAAAACATGGAAAACCAAGCAGCACACCTTTCCAGCAGAATATCTGATCGGGACGGAGGCATTTGCAAGCAACTGGCCGGGGAGGGCAGAAGGAGAAATTCCCAAACACATTGTTTCACAAAGCAGGGTCTGGACCACCTTGAAGATGTGAGTCAATTAGAGGAAGTTCCCAGGTTACCAAGGTCACAGAGCAAGATTAGGACCATCTCAAGGCTATCCCGAATGCTCTCTGTGGTTCTGTAGTCACCCAGGCTCGGCGTCCCCTTGGCAGCCTCTGATCTCGGGTGTTTATTTGAAATGTGGGCAGGGATCTACTTTCCTCATCACTCATCTGCAGGCTCTGGAGCTCCTCTGTTGAGGGGGTGACCCACCCCATCCTGGCTGCTTCCTCCCCAGCCACCATTCAGACCTCTGACCCCCGAGGACCTGCTCGGGGATTCAGGACATGGAGCAGAGAGAGCAGGAGGCTACGGGGCAGTCCTTGTGGGGCGGGAAGACAGGCATATGGGGGTGAGACACGAAATCCTGGGACACACAGGCCACACATATTTCTCGCCTCTCCACCTACGTCCAGGGACAACCACTCACGGCGTCAACGGAACCCATGGGCAGGCTGGGTGTTGACAGTGGAGAAGAGAGTGGAGTGACATGGGTGGCTCACCGGCCCCGAGGGCCCTGTGGAAAACTTTCTGACTCCTGATTTAATGCTGCCGTCAACACTTACGGCACGTGGTGATGGGGCAGACCCATGGCGTGTGAGCGTTTGCCACCATCAACACCTTCAGCTCATGGTTAGGGGTGGGGAGAGAGTCCAGCACTGCAGTCCGGCCCTCCCAGCTGGGCCTGTCTCCAGGATGGCACAGGCCCAGCTCCTTCCAGGTGGCCACGTCACAGCACCCCCAGCCCTGTCATCAAGGCCCCCTTCTCTGATCTCAGCACTACCCAGGGTGGCCACCACGTCCAGATTTTCCCAGCACTGTCCCAGTCCAGCCCCAGAAGTCTCATATCCCAGAATACCTCTGGGCCCAGGACACCCCTGGGTTCTGTCCCTGGGCTGGTGGTGGCTTTCCACGGTGATCAGCCTGGCCCCTTCCACCTGCCCCTACCCCATGAGAATCCTTCCATTAAATTCCATTGCATCAGCCTGTCTTTTGTTGTTGCTATTTGGGGTCCACACCGAGAGGTCCTCAGGACTTACTCTGGCTCTATGCTCAGGGATCACTCTTGGGGGGTGGGGAGGGGCTTGGAAAATGACATGAGTTGCTGGGGATCAAACCCGGGTTGATCATATGCAAGGCAAGTGCCCTGTCTACTGTGCTACCACTCTGGCTCAGCCTGACTTTGTTTGTTTGGTTTTGATTTTAGGCCACACCAGCTGGTGCTCAGGACATACTCCTGGCCTTGTGCTCTAGGAGAGTGGCTGTTTCTCGGCCACAAGCAGCTGATTAGTATGTGGCTGACCTGGGTTTGATTGCTGGCACCCCCTATGGTCCCTGAGCCCTGCCACTCTCCTGCCCTCCTAGCTCTGGGCCCTGAGTCCTATACCCCTGCTTTCTGCAGTGGGCCCAGGGCTGGGGTGAGAGCCTGAAAGGAGGATGGGGAAGAGTCCCTCAGAGCCTGACCAGCCAGTTGTGGCTCCCATCCAGCTAATAGAGAGCCTGGGTCCCAGACCCGAACTCAGCAGAAACAGGGCCCAGATGACAACAGGTGCAGCCAGGCTGGGCTGAGGGTCCAAACAGTGGGAATTTCGGGGAGGCCTGCAGGAGGAAGGACATCTGTGAAGTCTTGGGAAGGAGGAGTCAGGTGAGTAGACCTGCACAGGGTGGGAACTAAGCCTGTCGAGATCTGCCAAACTGATAAGGGGAAAAGACCTCAGTTCAGACTTCAAACAGGCTAACACCAGAGAGAAGGACCTTCCAAGGGACACCTGAGTCTGGGGGACATGACATAACCGTGGAGTGCATTTGGGATGTTCTTGAGGTGGTCCCAGTCTGCCTCTAGAAACTTGGTAACCTGGAAATGTCCTCAAGGTGGTCCAGACCCTGCTTGGCCAAACAACATGCTTGGGAATTTCTGCTTCTGTACACACCTGCCAGTAGCCTGCAAATGCCCTGTTGCCTGCAGACAGTCTATAAACAGAGTTCTTGCCTTTGTTCTGGGCCCAGGTCTTGGGATCATGAGCTCTGCTAGGTTGGCTGGTATAATTAATACTATGTTTCCCCACTTCTCAAGGCATGATGCCTCGTTTCCACTGGCTTTTGGTGGGACTTTCCTCAACAGAACCAGGGACAAGTTGTAGTTGGCTTGAGGTTCATTTTTTTTTTTTTTTTGGTCATTGCATCTTCAGAAACCTTTCATTGTTGCATATTCAGAAAAGAACGTTTTTTGTAACCTCTGCCTTCAGTTAAGTGTCTAACTGGGACTGTGACCCCCAAGTTTGAGAAGCAGGGGCTGGAGGATGATCTACTTTAGGGGGAGTTGGGGGGTGGGAACGGAGCTTCAGATCACACAAAGCAAAGTCAGACTGGGTGGCATGCAGGCAGCTGGCACTTTATTGACTGGTTCAGAGTCCCCCAGAGCTGGCTGTGGGTAGTAGGCACGGGGCAGGTGGTGGAGGGATGGGCTGAAGGGTCAGAGTGGGACCCTGGGGGTCCAGGGAATCTGTGGGAGCAGGAGGCTGTGGGGTCACTCAGTAGATGATGGACGTCTTCAGACTTGACTCGACTGTCTTCTTTACAATGGTGTGGCCGCCGGAACTGGAGCTCGAGCTGAAGCCGGAGCCGGACACAGAGCAAGAGCCCAGCACGGAGTCCCACCCTGTGCCGAGCGAGGCCCCAGAGCCCCCCTTCACGATGCTGGTGCAGCTGGAGCCGAAGTCGCCTTTCGTGCCCCCGAGGCCGCAGGTGCCCCCCAGGCCAGCGCCAAATCCCCCAGACACAGAGGCACCGCCTCCCCCGACAGCTGCTGAGAGACACAGAGTCACGGTGGGGTTCTCGCCTCCCCATGGAGCCCCTCTCCCCAGGCCCCCCCATACTCACAGATGGTGACCTGGTTGCTACACTCCCCGGACATCCTGGAAAAGAGAGGCAAGAGGAGAAAACGCTAAGAAGGAGTGCAGAGAGGCGGTCTCCTCAGTAGGTTATTTGATGATCTGGGTGGACCCCCCAACCCAGGGAACCCAGGGAACAAAGGGCTGAATATCCAAGCCCAGCAATGGGTGCTGCTGGCACCCAGGGGTGCTGGGCTGTGGAGGCCACCCCACAGGGCTGGGGCTCCTTGCCCACTCGAGGTGGCTCCCTGGGCAGCTCATCTACCCTCCGGACGAGGACAAGCTTCCAGCCCTCCTTTGAAATCTCAACCAACGAATGCCTCCCGCCCTCCTCACCGGCTCTCCTCGCCCTCCAGCAGCCGACGGTAGGTGGCAATCTCGACGTCCAGCGCCAGCTTCACGCTCATCAGCTCCTGGTACTCACGCAGCATCCGGGCCAGCTCCTGCTTGGTGCCTCTCAGGGCAGCCTCCAGCTCGGCCAGCTTGGCCTGTGCGTCCTTCACGGCCACGTCCCCACGCTGCTCTGCGTCGGCCACGGCGTCCTGCAGGCTGGCATTCTGGGAAAGGCGGAATGCGAGGCAAGAAGGGTCAGTGAGTCCAGCACCATTGCTCCAGGTCCCTCGTGGGGGTCAGCCCGGAGGTGGGGGAGGGTCTCTGTCACATGGCCACCTCCCGGCAATTCCCCTGCTATGGAAAAACACTGCTGAGGGGAGAGAATTGTGTCCCGCATGGCCCTGCCACCTGCAGCATGAGACGGTGACCTTATTGAGAAAAAGGGTCTGTGCATGTGTGGAGAGGGAACCCCACTATTGTTAGGCTGAACCCTAAACTCAGCACTGGGAGCCCCAGAGGAACGTGCATTGTGAGGGCAGAGACGACAAGTGACGCAGAAACCCCTGGGAACTGGGTCTTCCGGGATAAGCACGGCTCCCCACCCCACCCCCATTTCTCCAGAAGGAGTTCCCACAGACCCCACTCAAGATTCCCAGACCCCCAGGATTGAGAGGCTGGAATGGACCGCGGGATCTCCATATGCCACATGCCCCAGTGACACAGTCAGTGTGTGAGCATGAAACACACCAGGAGACTGATGTGGTCCCAGAAGGTCACATGTGAACACCACGGCCACCCCATGAGCCCTCCTCCTCCTCCTCCTCCTTCTCCTGCTCCTCCTCCTTCTCTTTCTCCTCCCCCTCCTTCTCCTCCTCCTCCTCCTCCTCTTTCTCCTCCTCCTACTTCTCCTTCTCCTCTTCCTCCTCTTCTTCCTTCTCCACTTCCTCCTCCTTCTCTTCTTCCTCCTCCTTCTCCTCCTCCTCCTCCTCCTCCTCCTTCTCCTTCTCCTTCTCCTTCTCCTCCTTCTCCTCCTCTTCCTTCTCTTCCTCATCCTCAAGCATAGCCAGAATGTACCCGAGCACCACAGTCAAGCAGTGTGACCCTGTGAGTGTCAGAGGAGCCCCCATGGTCCCACAGCGTGCAGGAACCATCGTCTTGGCTGTTTTCGTTAGCAACAAAGGGTAGAGCCAGAAGTAAGCCCTGAACATTGCCAGATGTGATCACATAAAGTAAAGTAAAGTTGATCGTTGATTGCTTGAGCGGGCCCAGTAACGTCTCCATTGGAGACTTTGTTGTTACTGTGTCTGGCATATCCAATACTCTCGGTAGCTTGCCGGGCTCTCTGAGAGGGGCGGAGGAATCGAACTTGGGTCGGCCATGTTGGCTGCGTGCAAGGCAGACGCCCTACCCGCTGTGCTAAAAAAAAAATTTTTCACACAAACCCAGGGAGGACCCTGGGGCAACGCAGTGAGAGGGAAAGTTCCAGGGGCTTCGGAACCCTTACCTGCGTCTTGAGAGTCTCAATCTGACTCTGCAGCTTCTTGATCGCATGCTGCAGTTGGGAGATCTGGGCTTTGGTGGCCTGCATGCTGTCCCCGTGAAGCTGCACAGACGTCTGCAGCTCCTGGTACTGAGGGACAGAGGCGAGCCCATGAAGCAGCAGGCCTCCCCTGTGCCCGCTCCCAGCCTCCATGTCCTCATGCTCTGGGGATACCCCGATCCCTGGCAGGGAGGGGGACCCCGTTCCTGGAGGGGGACCATGCTTGTGCCTGCCCGACCCCGGAGCTTCAGAGTGGGGAACCAGCCCCTGGGGACCCACAGACCATCCCTTCCGCCAGCCGCCCTGCACCTTGCTCTGGTATGCCGCCTCGGCCTCGGCTTTGCTGGCCCGCGCAATCTCCTCGTAGCGGGCGCGCACCTCAGCGATGACATCCTTGAAGTCCAGGCGGCGGTTGTTGTCCATGGACAGGACCACAGACATGTCGCTGGCCTGGGTCTGGAGCTGGACCTGCTCCTGAGAGGCAGACAGACTCAGTGCCGTCATTCCACCCCTTTCCCCAGAAGACCCCCAGGGGGAGGTGTGGAAGGACTTTCTGCACACACATGATTGGGGGCAGCCTGGCGTTGGCCCTCAGAGGTAGCGAACACCCGTCAGGGGGTGCTGTCCCCTCTGTGGACACAAGGTCTGCACAGCTGGGGCACTAAAGAAAAATGCCCCCAAGGCCCCAAATTCTCCCCACCGTGAGCCTGCTGGACTGAGCTGCATCGGACCCACCGTAGTTCCTCAAAGTCGCCAGTGCACCCCAGGGTCTAGGCAGCCCCTCTGCCCAGCCGTGTGGTGCCTTCCTCACCTCCTTCAAGTCTTTTCTGACTCTGTGTCCTACAAAGATGGGCTACTCTGAACCCACCATGCAAAGCGTCCCCTGCCTTCATGCCTCATTCCCAACTCTCCTTTCCCAGGTGTCACTCTCCTTTCCCCAGAGCTGCCTCACCAGACCAGGGGACCCGCGAAGTCTCGGACAGGCAGACTGTCTGCCAGGGAAAGCAGACTCGGGGCTGTCTGTCTGATCCCTAGCAAGCCACGCTGTCAATCCTCAGCAACTTTGTCAGACGAATGAGTGGTGGGATCCGCCGCAGCCCCCAGGCATGGGGGTCCCTGCCCCTCCCCCGCTCCCACGGCCCCTGGCCAAGCCTCACTTCCTCATACAGATGCCTCAGAAAGTCGATGTACACCCGGAGAGACTCGTGCCTATCCTCCAGCTCCATCTTGCTCAGGAACACCCCGTCCACATCCTGCAGAGAGGGAGACAGAAGCTGTAGACCTCTGTGTGGTCTCGGAGCACTCTCTCCCAACACCCCCATCCCCTCTCACCATCTCCAGTGACCCCTCCTTCCTCCTGCAGTCATGCCATGCTGCACTCCCCTTCACCTGACCAACCCACACTGCCTTCAGGAAGCCCTCCCGGCTCAATCCCAGCCAGCGATGCTTCTTCCATTCCCTCGCCGTCCTCTCCGACACGGTGACTCCGGGAGTTTAGCAAGTGGCTCTTCAGTCGGGGCTTATCCTGGGACGCCTTGTCTAGGTGGTTGTCCCACCTCCTTGGGGCCCCACAGGGAGGGTCTGCATTTAGAAGCTGCCCCCTCTGGCTCAGGGCCGGGCTCCGTGCACGGGGAGGCGCTCATTACCCTAGCGGAGTCACTGGCCCCTGCCCTCACCTTTTTAAGGACCACAAAGTCATTCTCCACCGTGGCGCGCCTCTGGGCTTCCTGCTCGAACCTGCCAGAGAAGGACCAGCCGGGGGGAAAGGTAAGCCCCAGCTGCCACCATGGCGCGCAGTGGGTGTGGGGGGTTCTCCCAAATTCATCTCTGCATCGGCCCTGCTGCCCCTGCCCAGTGCTCGTGGCCACCTTGCTTCACATGCAGGCACCACACGATCAGGCACAGGGAGAAGCCAGGAGGGAGGGTCTCCCACTGCGGCCAGCCCTGCCATGCCCTGCACCCCAGGGAGCACAGGCCTCGCCTGGGCATCCTAATCAGTCCCACTCACCATCAGTTCAGCCTTCTAGAACTTTCGGACCATCCACACTTGGTGGCCCAGAACTCCTGCCTCAGTCACACACACACACACACACACACACACACACACACACACACACACACACCACCCCAGGCTCCTTCCAGGGCCTGTTCCCGGCTGGTCCCATCCTCCCATTACTCTGGGTCAGGGAGTGGCACATGCCCACTTTACAGATCAGGAAACTGAGGCTGGGGAGGTGACACGGCGCTGCCCGTGTCCCCACCCCATGCGGAGGGCGAGGAGCCCAGAGCTGCCTGCGGGGTGAATCACGCCACTCTCGTGGGGAGGGTCCCGCTAAGTGGATTCCGCGGCACCCAGAGACCAGGGCAGTTCTGAGTCACGGGAGCCCGCAGCCTGCTTAACCAGAATTTCTGGAGAGAACCCCACTGCAGGGAGAGCGGCAGCCCATCCCGGCCCTGAGCAGGGACAGCGCCGCCCCCCACTCGGCCCCCACCCCAGGGGATGCTCAGGAGCCCAGGATAGGGGGGCCAGGGGCAGCGCCCAGCAGTGCATACTTGGCTTTGTACTCCTCCTCCTGGTCGCGGCAGGCCTGCAGCTCAGCCTCCAGTGCCCCGCGGTCTCTCTGCAGCTGCTCCAGCCACTGCTGGAGCTGGGCCACGTGGGCCTCAAAGAAGGACTCGAGGCCCTGGGGGCCAGCGCGGCCACCCTGCTGCTGCAGCAGGCTCCACTTGGTGTCCAGGACCTGGTTCTGCTGCTCCAGGAAGCGCACCTGCAGCATGGCAGAGGTCACCTGAGCTCCGGGACCGGGATGGAGGGACCGGGGGACAGGAGCCCCTGCCCATACCCACAGCCCCGGGCCTCGCTAGCACTCTGAGAGCACAGAGAAGCAATAGAAGTGGTCGGGGGGGGGGGGTGGTGGTCAGGTCTTGCCACAGTGGAGGCCACGGGCCGCTCCCCTTGGCCATCCTGGGGCTGGGGGTCGGGGTGGAGCGCAGGTCCTCCGAGGGAGGCTGGGGGATGGGCCCTGCCCCTGGGACCCTCACCTTATCAATGAAGGACGCAAACTGGTTGTTGAGGCTCCTGATGGCTTGGGTCTCCTGCGTCCGCACCGCTTGGAACTGGGGGTCGATCTCGATCTTCAGTGGGGTCAGCAGATTCTGGTTGACACTCACTTCCTGGATCCCCCCAGGAGGGCACCCGCGGCCTTGCCCGAACTGCGCTCCGAGCCTTCCCGCCGCCCCCCAGGTCCCCCCCTGAGAGGCTCCCCGGCGCCCCCCGAAAGAACTGAGGCTCCTGCTGCTGAAGGAGCGGGAGCAGGGGCCTGGGCCCCCCGCCCCTGGGCGCACAGAGCAGGCGGAGAGGGCGCTGAAGCCCCCCCGGCCCCGGCCTGGGCAGAGAGACATGGCAGAGACAGACGAGCTGGCAAGTGTCCGGCGTGCGAGTCCCTGCCCCGAGGCCCTGCACGAGACTTTTATCCCCTCCCGTGCCTGGGCTGGGCCTGTGGATGCCCCGGGCCTGACTGTGTCCCTCTCAGGCTCCGGCTGACCTAGCCTGTCACCAGCAACGTGAGCAACCGGCACGTGCCGGCCCAGGGGGAAGGAAGCCCAGACCTGCCCTCAGCTGCCCCCTAGAGAGGAAGGACTGCGGGTCTCAGTACCAGGAAGCAGACAGGCACGGGCCCTTGGGTGCTGGGCAAAGGGGAAGGCTGGCCCTGGACAGTCTCTGAGGGTGTGATCAAGAAAGGCTTCCCGGAGGAGGTGGGGAGGAAGGGAGGAGGAGGGAGAGAAGAAGGAAGGGAGCGGATGGGGCGTGGAGGCACCCAGAAACCCGGACAGAAGCAAACGGACTTCTCAGGGGTGAAGAGACCTCCAAGAGTTGGAGAAGGAAGGCACCCAGCAGCCCTGGAGAAGATAAGGTCGGCAGCGATGCTGTTAGTGTGATTGGCTAAAGGACACTCTGGCACTTGGAAATGACACAGAAAAACAGGGTGGCCAAGTCCCTCCTCTGGCCCAGCCCAGCAATCACCCAGGAGGTGCCACCCGCAGGAGCCGGTGTCAGCGTTGCCTCTGGGGTCCTGGGGAGACACCTGACTGCCCCACCCCCACCCCTCCAGGGAAGCTCCAGGCAGAGTACCAGGCTCTGCACAAAAGTGTGTGCTTAAGAACATATTCCCTGGGGGGCAGGAAACAGAAGCCAGAATTCATGGGTGTTCCTAAACAGACTTCATTTCTCCCCTGAAACTCTGCCAAGTGGAGGGGCTCAAGGGCTCAGGTGGTAAATTCCTATCCCTATCCTGGAGGGCTCCCTGTAGGAGGCACCTGTGGACTTGCACAAAAGCCCCTCCACTGCAAGCAAGCAGCTCAGGGTGCTAGAATGTCTAGAATATTTCTATCTGTGCTACACACACACACACCTGCCTTCTTAGAGCCTCATGTAACCAGAAGTGAAGGTATTGCAGCCTTGATAATAGAGCTCAAATTAATAACAGGAACTCCACATCACACTCCGGTGAGATGCTATGAGGAAGACCCGGGTGGCAACGTGCCCACCCTGCCAGGAGGCCTGAGGGACTCCCCCCGCCCCCAGAGGGATTAGAAGCCCCTTCCTCCTTCCCCTACCCCATGGGGCAGCACCCCTGGATGAAACTGAGCCACAGGTGACCTCACAAGGAAGAGGTGACCAGCAGGCAACTGTCAGTGGGGAGAGCAGAGCTCAGGGGCCCAAGGCCAAGGGACACCCAGGAAGGGGGTTAGCATGAAGCCACCCAGACCATAGAGAGAGGACCCAGGAAGCCGGAGGCCTCTGAGGCGCCACCCTGGGCCATCCTGCAGGCGGCAGGGAGAGCCAGGGACGAGCTTAGCTCAGGCTTTGCGTCCAGGACCCAGGCTTGCTCCCCACATAGCACCAGCCCCGAGCACAGCCAGGACTAAGCCCCCAGCACCAGCATCAGGTGTGGCCCAAAATCAACCCACAAAGGGGGAGGGGGGACCTGGCCCTACCCCAGTGTGAAGGGCGGAGGACCAAGGTCACGCTGAGGATGGAGCTGAATTTTCCTGCCCGGAACTTCCCCATATTTGTGATACTAGAGTGAACCTGGGTGAGCTCAGCCTGGCACCCTCATCTACACTTCAGGTTTCTGAGGTCCCTGGGTGTGGGGAGAGACGGCGCTGGACCACTGAGGGACGGGACCAGCTAGCCTTGAGTTGTGTGGCCCGTCACTCTAGGGTCCGAGTAACTTGCTCAAGAACGCCCATCTACACTGGTGGAGGGATGGGAGTTTGATCATTGTATAATTGAAACCCAAGCACAAAAATTTGTAAATCAACAACTGTGCCTCATGGTGTTTCACCAATAAAAGTTTAAAAAAAAAAAAAACGCCCATCTAATGCGGCCAAGGGCAGGACCTCAGCTCATCCAGCAGCACACTCCCCGCCCCTGGGGCAGCCCACCGGCCCTTGGTCAGTCACGGTGTCTGGCTCATCCAGCCCTGGCCAGCCCTGGCCACACTGGGCATCGGGGGTGCTTGCTTTGGAGTCTTGGCCCGGGGGGTGGGGGTGGGGGACGTGGATCCTCAGGAAAGCACGAGCTTTGCATCTGCGGGTCCCTGACTTTGCTCTCTAGGACTGTCCACATCCCCAGGATGTGACCGGGACCTTTGGCATTGCAGCAAGGGAAACCTTCCACCCCAACATGGCAACAATAAAAAAAGATTCATTCCTTCTTATTGGGGGGGGGGGGGGACTGTCCTCAGGGACTACTCCTGGTCGGGCTATATGGGGTGCTGGGGATTGAACCCAGGTCTGCCAGGCACTAGGCAAGCTCCCGGCCCATTGGACCATCACTCTGGCCCCTCACTCTCAGGTTCTTCAATGTTCCTGTAGAAGGTTTTCCTTATAAATAAACAGTGGGCCCAGAGAGATGGCTCGAAGGCCGGGAGTACTCACTTTGCATGCAAGAGGCCCGAGCTCCATCCCTGAGACCACATATGGCCCCCCAAGCACTACCAGGAGTGACCCCGAGGACCGCTGGCAATCAACCCCACTCCTCCTGGAGAATACAGAGCAGCGTGTAGTGAGGGGGAGGAGAGGGGTGGGGGGTGGGGGAGTCGGTGCTCAGCCCCGGCCGTCTGGGTGGTCTCTGCCTGTGCACCAAGGGCCACGGAGGACACTCCTCACACAGGAGCAAATGAACAGGCGGCTCCATCGTGGATTTCTGGCCACTCCTGGGCTGGGGAGGCCTGAGGGGTTGGGTGCCTCCCCACCCCCACTCCCACACTGACCCAGACCAGTACCAGCTCAGTGTTCCCGCTCCAGGGGAGCCCCGGGCCAGCAGGGTCCCCATCAACCCATCCCTCAGCACCCGACCAAGTTCAGAGCTGACCCTGAAACTCTCAGTCTTTCTCTTTGTCTCTCTGTCTCCCTCCCTACCTCTGTCTCTGTCTCTCTCTTCCTTTCCTCCCTCTGTCTCTGTCTCTATCTCTCTCTATCTCTCAAAAGCCCTTTTTAGCTTGCGCAAATGAAGTTTTTGACCCAAATCCCATTTATTCACATGAATTTATTTCCTGAAAAAAAATATAATTGAGCACCTACTCTATCCTGCATGCTGAGACTGAGGAACTTCACAGAGATCAAAGCCCGTGACCTGCACCCAGAAAGCTTAGAGTCTGGTAGAGAAACAGACATTGAATAGGCAATTAGTAAAGTATGTCATCGCAATTATGATAAGCAGAGAAGACTATAGGATGCAAGAGGCCTAACCTAGTTTAGCCCCTCATTTATTCTCCACCTGCCAGGAACATTCCTGCCACAGGGCCTTTGCACTTGCCTTTCCCTCTTCCTGGAATGCACCTCCCAAATAATGGTCAGGGCAGGGGTGGGGGTATTCTGGGAGATCAGAAATGGTCAGAGAGTTCTGTCTCAATTTCCACCCACGTCCAGGCTCTTGTCCTTATGTCACAGAAAAGAATGTGTTGTGGAAGACAATGTAAAGTGAAAATATTTTATTTGGGAAATAGGTGAGGAGACAGAGAAGAGGCAACCCATGAAGTGAAAGAAGACATTCTCCCCTGAACTGGAAGGCTAGCGGTCGGAGGGATTCAAGCGTCCCAAAGAGAGATGCTCACTGCCTGCTCATGAAGAATTTACTTTACAGGGTTGTGGTTTTATTGTTTTGGTTTTTTCGTTTGTTTGATTGGTTGGTTGATTTTTATGCACATCCAGCGATGCTCAGAGGTACATCTGGTGGTGCTCAGGGGTTATTCCTAGCTCATGCTTAGGAATCACTTCTGGCAGGGCTCAGGGGACCATATGAAATGACAGGGATCCAAGCTGGGTGTCCCTTGGGCGAGACAAGCACCCTACCTGTTGCACTATCTCTCCAGTCCCTTTCTTACAGTGTTTTCTCAAGCTTCTGGGACCTGAGGTTTTCTTTGAAGATAAGAGCCCCTTGAAAGTAATGGTGGTGGGACAGTGCAATGGTGGTGGGATTGGTGTTAGAATATTGTCTGTAACTAAACTGATAACTTAATAAACTTATAAAAATCAAAGAAGATTAAAAAAAAAGAGTCTCTTGCAAGTGAAGAGGACTTTATACTATGGTCTTCTTCCAGCTGGCGCTGACGTCCTTCATGCCCTCTGATCTCTTAGCAGACCTCAGTTCCTGCGTCCCCAAAGATGCCCTCTCTTGCTTTGGCTTGGCAAAGAGACTAGAGAAAGAGTAGGTTCTTTTATCTCTCTATGGCATTCTGGCTTCACTAGTTCCTATAAATCACAGCTGCGCTTCCCCCACCTGACACCCTGCCTGGCTCATATCACAGGGCCCAAAGCCACCTCCCGACTGACCCACACCAAACTCACTGCATCCCCGAACCCAGCGGCACCTCCCGGCCCTCCCTGCTTGCTTTCCACCTAGCACTAGACAGTGCATTTTGCTCTTTTTCTCTGCCAGGGTCCCTGCCAGGAATGAGATGCCTGAGGGCGGGGATTGTCTTTTTGTTTTTATTTATTTATTTATTTATTTTAATTTTTTTTTAATTTTTTATTAGTGAAACACCATGAGGTACCGTTGTAGACTTACAAATTTTTTGTGCTGGAGTTTCAGTTATATAATGATGGGTTCCCGGGGATTGTCTTGACTGGCTCCCGGATCCTCTGCTCCTAGCCGTGTTCAGAGTACAGCAGATTCTCAGAAACTACTCGAGTGACTACACCCATTGAGTCTTGCTGTGTTTCTTTCCTTCCATCCTTCACCTGTTTCAGGCCCACGACTCTCAATTCTGTTCTCCAGACCATTCATCACTCCCCACCCACCCTCACCCCCTACCTTGGTATCTTCTTTTTGATGGCTGTTGCCACCCATACCTGCTCTTTCTGTGGGGACCTGCACAGCCTCCAATAGCTTTCAA